AGGAAGCTAGAAGAAGCTAGTCATAAACACCGTGAGTAGTGACTTTTCCCTTGTCAGTGGTGTAAATATGTAGTTGGATTGTTTCATGTAACTTAATTCTTCTCCCTCGCTGTGTTATGGCTTTGCTATGTGGGGATAAATGTGCTGGTTACGTTCGTGAGACAGCTGATTAGTAGGCTACTCTTGTCATTGAACGTAAAACAGTTACAGGAATCACCAACCCGTCGATCTTGGAAGCATTTTAAGTCGACCGAGTTTCCAAAATCAGAGAAAAAAGCCTTTGTGTGTAGTAAGTGTGTCTAGGGGATGCGGAGGCGCGCGCGCTGTCACAATCACGTTATTTTTGCCGCACGCACCTTTGGGCTCATGCGGACGCGTCGAGTTTAAACAAGGCTCAGCCACAGTAACAGCTCATATTAGCCAGCTAAACTTTTACTACCCTGTTAGAAAAAATATATTGTTGCATAGTTTCATGTGGTTCTTCTCCCTCGCTGTATGGGTTTGCTTTGTGGGGAGAATGTGCTGGTTATGTTCGTGAGACAATCAGCTGATTACTATTATTATATTATGTAAGGTGCATTGTGTAATATTTCTGAGGATCTATTGACAGAAATGCAATTTAAAATCCATAACTATGTTTTCAGTGGTGTATAAAGACCTTACTTAATGAACCGTTATGTTTTTATTACCTTAATGAGACATTTATATCTACATAGACGCGGGAATCCCCTTCTATGAAGGTCTGAAGGTATGTTTCTACCGTAGCCGAAAGCAAACAAACAGCGCTAAAGAAACCTCATTGCTTGACTTACTACTCTCTGCTGCTGACTCAGACTCAGACGACGACATATTTTGTCTTACGTCGGCCACCGTAGCTTCTCATTCGAGTTTGAAAACCGAGGGATAGGCCGCGAGTGACATGCTGTTTGCAATTTGCAATTCTCACCACTAGATGCCGCTAAAAATCCCACACTGCACCTTTAAATATGATCATCAGGCTTTTCAGGAAGGTTTATTTGTTAATCTCTCAATCATCATTATATTTCATAGCATTGCGTGTTTTAAAACTAGAGCTTTGATCATAAAACTAAGCATTTAAATATCATCTTACTAAGACATTATTGGCAGATATAGAGCGACGACTGCATGTTATAAAGATCTCATTGATTTACATCACAAGCATAAGAATTTCATCTTTTTGTCCATATAAATATCAGCATTAGCAACAAATTACATATTTTTGCTCAATTTGAGCTCCATATGTTCACTATATTAGACTATTTGAGCCTTTAAATGCCTGATGTATCAAATATGATACATAACCCAAAAACAGGGTTAAAGCCCTGCTGGAAACACATGATTTCACACATTAAAGATGCTAAACTGATGGATACCTGAATCTCACAGGCTGTGACCAGGTTGTGAATGTAGTAAAACGCCTCTTCAACTGTTTCTCCAACAGACACCAGACCGTGATTCCTCAAAATCAACACCTGAACACAAGCAATTATTTCAATCACACATTTACACAACATAAAACCGGATAGAGCTCAGGCTTATAGTCGGGCAGAAATTGATATAGCGGTCTAATCTGGCAGTGATGGAGTACTCGAGTCCTTATTCTCTGGACTCGTGACTCGACTTGGACTTGTGGACTGATGAGTAGTACTTGGACTCGGACTCGAGAATATATAAAATCGGACTTGAGCATTCATCAAATGAATGACATTGTTTCTGACTAAAGGTTATAAAAAATTTTATATACGATGTTACACTTTTCCTGTTTCGGGGTCCAAGACCGGCCGTGATCTATTTTTTCCCTCACAGACACTGCTACCGCTCGCTCTCCTTGCTTGACAACACACTCACTGACGTCACTCACTTTACGCCGCATTCTCGTGAGAGAGATAACGTAACACTCATTTAACACTAGATAAGTTCCTCTACATCTAATCAGCGATTTCGATTTTGGCACGCTTTGCAGCAGCTGAGCTGACCACTAAGGAGCGAACGTACAGTGACGTGACATAAATGATTTAAACTGTGCTTTCATGCTATGGCTGCACTGAGCCAAAGTCGGACACGCTCAGCCCTTAATCCCGCTTATCATACAATAACACAATTATGTTTATTTTAGCTAACAAAAGACGGCGACCTTGACTGTCACACATCGCAACCACTCTTTTCCTGCGGAGTTACAAATGCTTATAGCACTGCATTTTTTTTTTTTTTTTGCCGCATGCTGCTGTTATGGGATTTAGTTTGCTTTTCAAAATAGTTTTTCTTTTACCATATTCGTCAAGAAGAACGCATTTCTCCTCCTCTGTCCAATTAGGCTTTCTTTTTTGCTTTCTTTATCCATTCCAGTTGACTGATCATCCAAAAATGTATTTAAACAATTAACAATTATCGTGCCACAGCTAGTTGACAATGATTTGAACTAAGGTCAAAGGCAATTCTAGTGATATCATACACATTTCTAGCTGCAAGAAAGAGTGCCTGAAAATTTTTGCTTGATTTGGCTTAAGTGTATATAATTTCGACTCGGACTCGAACACGGGACTCGAGACTCGACTCGGACTTGAACTCAGGTAATGGTGACTCGACTTGGACTCGACTCTTCTTTGGTGACTCAGACTTGGACTTGGACTCGAACACGGGACTCGAGACTCGACCTCATGTAATGGTGACTCGACTTGGACTCGACTCGGACTCTTCTTTGGTGACTCGGACTTGGACTCGAACACTGGGACTCGAGACTCGACTCGGACTCGACAGTTGGTGACTCGACTACAACACTGGTATATGGTACCTTGCTCTTGGGACCCAGGTTCTTCTGTATGAGGACGTTCTCCTCCTCGTCCACCAGGATACCGTGGTAATCGTGGTACGCCACCTCGCCCAGCGCCAGAGCCTCGGGTGAAATGGGCAGGAGACCACATTTCATAGCAGACACCTGGAGGCACCATTGCAATGAAATGAGCATAAATATTGCAAAATGCATTTATTCAAGAATGAATTATTTTAAGTCTATTAAAAACGAAATGGGACATGAAACACACATCCAAATACATCAGAATTCAAAATTAAATGATCAAATACTATGTAAAAATGCTGCAATTTGTAAATAAAAATGAATGAGATGTAAACAAACAAGATGCATGTAATTCTTCATTGGTCACAAAAAAAATTATTTTGCACCATCTCTTTATGCTAATAATGCTATGGAAGCTTGTTTCTGCCACGGAATAAAACAATTTAAAAGATAATTGCTACTTTTTCTTAATAAACTCGAGATATAAACTCGCAATTCAGAGGGAAAAAAAATGGCAGAATTGTGAGATAAGTCGCAATTACCTTTTATTTTTTATTTAATGGCGGAAACGAGCTTCCATATTATGCTAATATTTGACTATGCAATCGTTTTAGATAAAAGCATCTGAATTAAACTAATTAATTTGGTCCCACTTTATATTAAGCGTCTTTAACTACCATGTTCAAACATTTATGAATCATTTGATATAATGCACTAATTGTTTACATGCTTTTGCATTGTACTTACATTTTAAAAAATACCTTCATGTAATTACAGTGGTAATTCAATTCTGTAATTACACTGTTGACCCTTCCCTCACCCTTAAACTTACCCGTACCACCAAACCTGCCCTAACCAACCCGGATCCCACGTCAAGTCTTTTGCAATACAACATGAACACATTAAATACATTCTAGCGAACACATTTTTCAATGCAAGTACACAGTAGTTAAAGACATCTAACAGAAAGTGTGACTCAGACGGTTATTGTGAGATGATTGTTGAGTTTGTCATGAACGGCTCGTACCGCGGCGCCAGCGGGCGTGTGAATATGCACTATGCACTTGATGTCGGGCCGGGCCGCGTAGATGGCGGAGTGGAGGGTGAAGCCAGCCTGGTTTACGCCCAGATTCGTGCTGCCTCGGTCTACGATCTCACCCTGAAGGTTGATCTTCACCTGAGGACACATGCAATGCTGCTAAATACAAGTTACAACTGCTGGCTACTCCTAACAACTTATTTTCCTACAGGTAATACACTATTTAATAATATCTGTAAGCATTTATAATCTGATGTCAGTCACGTTCTGAGAGGCAATCCGAGGGTTGAGATAAAACAAAGGCAGGGTTACCAGACTGGAGGCCGTGACCTCACTGAACAGAAGACCGAACGGGACAATCAGAAAACGCTCCTGTTCAGTGTTCAGCCGGACCTGAAGAGACAGAGAGGTTTAAATTGTATCGGCACATATCAAACGTCCTGAGATGTGCTGTATATATATGTATTTGTGACACACTCACAGTCAGGTGGTTGTAGATGAGCTGAGACCAGCCGAAGAGGTCAGCCAGGCGGTAAAACGCAGCGAGTTTACAGCGCAAGAGCTTCTCTCCTTTCTCATAAGCGATGGAGTCTGAACCTCTCAGGTCATTGACTGGAGTCACCATCCCCAAACCTACACACACACACACACACACACACACACACATGTCTGTTAGGACTGTTCTGCCATTAATACATAAACATATATGTAGAGTTCTTTAAAACACTGAAGCTGTTGTTTAAAGTAGTATTTTACTTTCAGTGTGGAACACCAGGGTTATCTTTAATTCAAACTAAAACCATAAAAAAACACATTTTCGTTACTTGAACTAAAATAAACATGAACTGAAATTAAACAAAAGTTATTTGCCAAGGCAACATTTCTAATTTTCATTTAGCCTAACTAACTAAAAAGTACAAAGTACTAAAAAATAAAATAAGAAAAACTAATACAAATGACAAAAACACAAAATTACAAAAAAAAAGAAAAAAAAAAGAAAAGAAAATATTCAAATAAAAAATGCTTTAAATATTAATAGTAATAAGTACGAAAATGACAAACTGGAAAAAATTACTAAAACTAAAATAAAAATAAAAAATATAAAAATTGTTTAAAAATATCATTTTTTAGTAATATTTACTTAAGTACTTTAGTATTAAGTACTAAAGTAACTGAAAATATAAATAATAAAAATGAAATATACATATTTAAAAACTATTAAATTACAGACACAACAAAATGACTAAAAATTAAAACAGAAAATATAAAAAAAATATGATTAAAAATGATACAAGTGTATAAATGAATAGAGGGTCGATACGTCAAGGCATGGCAGTAAAGTGGAGCAGAGTGTGTATTTCAACTTTTTGGATTCATTATTATTTGTTAAATGTTGGATTTATGTTTATAAAAAAAAAAAGACGTCATGAGTGTGATGTGATATATCAGGATCGTTGCAGTGCCCGTAGAAAGTTTGCTTGCTCAAAGTCTAGAGTGACCGTGGCTTAACGCAGTTGATTCCCACACACACTCACTCATGTTGAGGGCAGCCATGCCTCCCTGCGGGGCGGCGGGGTACATGGTGGGAACGCTGGTGGTCATGAAGTCAGCGATCTGCTGCAGGGCAAGCAAACTGGTGGGGGTTTTCCCCTTCTTCATCTGATCCTGGATCAGAGACTCCAGCTCATCACAGAACACCTAATACACAGAGAACACACACACACACACACACACACACACACACAATTACAGCCAGAACTATACAGTCTAGGGCTGGGATATGACACAAATTTCACAATTCGATTCAATTTCGATTCACAAGCTTGCAATTCAAAACGATTTCGATTTTGATTATTTTGGATATCAGGTACAACACATGGCAAATTTTCTCAAAGAAAACAAATCTCTTAGCTAATGCTGTAAACTATGGGAGTCAGTTGTAGCCTATAGGATTCATTAGCCTACTATAATATTGAAGGTAAAAATGAACTGATTTGTATACAGACACTTAAAATTACACTTATTTATTTTTATAATAATAAAAGTTTTATGAAATATAAACATTTAAATGGTGGCTGTCATAAAAACTTACCAGATTTATTCAAACATGCATTAAATATTGAAGAACATTAGCAATTATAATATGTAATATGGTGCATATATTTAGCAAAATGCTCAGATTATTTTCAAAATGCGTAAAAATGAGAATCGATTAAAATCGAGAAATCGATATTTTTTACCCAGCCCTAAAAGGGTCCAATTCTAGATATGACTTGAGGAATCATTCGTGTCTGTAGAACAAACGGTACGGGACGAGGTGCACACTAAACGCTTCTTGATCTGCTACCTGGAATCTCAAAACTTGCGATACTGAAAATATATAAATATTATTCTGTACATTTACATCAATATTGTTTTTTGACATTTTTATTTGCCTGAGATGCTCCATTTCCAAAAGGTGAGCATATAAAGTTAAGCACCTTCAAACCATCGGAAATGTGCTTGATCTTGACTTAAAGATATTTGCTGAGTATTTAATTAAAAGTATTTAATTCTATTCAGAGTATTTCTTTTCTACGTGCAATATTATTACTATTTATTATAATGTGTATTTATTTAGGAAAGGTTATTTATATACAGTTTTTGCATTTTTAAAAATGTTTTGTTGCTCTTTGCTCTACCTTAAGATGTGTATGTGTGTGTGTTTGTGTATATGTATATATGTATTCTATTTAAATCTAAAACCTGACTCTGAGAAACGCACAAGAATTCCAATGTACCTGTACTGTAACGTACCTGTGCAAATGGCAATAAAACTTTGAACTTGAACTTGAATGCTGAAAAATATTAGAGGGAACATTGACAGCGACTACTTGATCGAAGATGGTACTTTAAAAGCATGAGAGCTGAAAATCAGCTGCCTTTCCTTCACTCCCTCAATTTCTGCCCGGATAAAGAGCATCTTTATTCTTCCGCTGACAGTCCGCTTGCATAAACAGAATCCCCTCTGTGTTCACACACACACACACACACACATGCATGATTGCTGGGCATATTAAGAAATCAGTCACGAGGGGGTTTATTGAGAGCTGAATGAACTGTATGGATTCCACCAGAAATATGAAGCAGCGCAACGGCTTTTTTTAACATTGATTAGAATAAATATTTCTTGAGCATCAAATCATCATATTAGAGAGATTTCTGAAGGATCATGTGACACTGAAGACTGGAGTAATGATGCTGAAAATTCAGCTTATATTTAAATAGAAAACAGGTCATTAACATTTCTCAATTTGACTGTTTTTACTGTATTTTTGATCAAATAAATGCAGCCTTAGTGAGCAGACTTCATTCGAAAACGTTAAAAAAAACCCAGTAGAGCAGTAGTGTATATGCTCATGAGTTATCACGGTGTTTCTGTAAGTGTGTGTGTTGTGTTCTCACTGGACTCTGCAGGATCATAGACACTCTCTTCCGCTGCTCCATCATGTTGAAGTCCTGCCGCAGGTCGGGTGCCATGTTCCTCTCTCTCTGGTACTCCGGGCTGCTCTCGTCCACGCGGTCGAAATAACGCTCCTTATGAGGGGGGTTGGTGGGAGGGGGGGCCGTCACCACCCCTGCACCTGAGTCTCCGTTCATCACACACCTGCAACAGAGCTCAGAGTTCAGCCGGGAATTGGCATACTTCAACTATGCGCATAAATGAAAGTACATGCTCACGATCAACAAAACATGCTCTAGTTTTACTTTAAAGCTACTCTATGACTTCTTTAGTAACAGTGTATTTTATCTTCCAAATCGTGTTTTCCTTTCCCTCAAATCACTACGCAATATGGACGCACTGGTATGAAAATTGAGATACGATAACCGATAATTTTTTACATTTGAAAGCCGATAACTCATTTATTGGCAGATCAATCTAAATCCAAATTTTTATATAATTTGAGAGCCTGATTACAAAAGTCTCACCATTAAAAGCCATATCCCAAGCACACTTTTCTCATTATAATTTAATTTAGTATAATTTTAACAGTGCACATCTGAAGCGTCTAAAAACAATGCATTATTTATCAGCTTTAATCAGTGGTGGAGGAAGTACTGAATCTCAGTACTTAAGTAAAAGTACAAATAACCAGAGACATATTTACTTTAGTAAAAGTAGAAGTACCACAATGACAACCCTACTTAAGTAAAAAGTAAAAAGTACCTGATTTTAAATGTACTTTAAGTATTAAAAGTAAAAGTACTTGCATAACAATTTATTCTCTTAATGTCTATATTCTAATGATTAATAAAACAGTTAATTCTAACTAATTCAACCTAATAATCCTATAATGATGTTCAATATGATGGAAAAGCAGATATATTTTAAGTTTGTCACCATTTCTGAACAAGCTTGCAATTAGGCAATATACACATCAAGCTTACTATATAGCCTACCCTTACTATATACGGTATATATATATATATATATATATAAAAAAAACTAGGGCTGTCAAATGATTAATCACGATTAATCACATCCAAAATAAAAGTTTGTGTTTACATTATATATATACAAAATAATTATACACAGTGCACCCACATATATTAATACACATACATGCATGTATATTTAAGAAAAAAAATATTATTTATATATAAAATATTTATATTTATATATAAATTATATATACATCTATATACAGTATATACATGAAAATATTTCTTAAATATATACAAGCATGTGTGTGTATTTATATATATAAAATAATTATACACAGTGCACCCACATATATTATGTAAACAAAAACTTTTATTTTGGATGTGATTAATCACGATTAATCATTTGACAGCCCTAATATAAACACATATGTTAAAACGCCGTATATGACGGCGTTTGACTGTAAACGCGATTCATTTATGGCGTAATTCTGAACCTCTTGGCTTGCCATACTAATCCTAACCAAACGTATAATACACACGCACCCCACACCACTACTAAACCTACCTTTCTTTTACTGTCTATGAAACCTACCAATGCGTTTCCTATGCATGTAAAAAATAATTTTTGCGTATACCTTGCACGATAAACACACTGCGTGCTATAGAGACGCATTTAGTGTGACCGGGTTGATATATCTATGGCAACCAAACTTCACTGGTGAGACAGAAACATGCGACGTTGGATGACGTTTTGGCAGGGGAAAAATTGATCAGAAAATGTAATGAAAATGTAACAGAACGTTGTAGAAATGTAGTGGAGTAGAAAGTATAATAATTGCTGCAAAATGTAACGAAGTAAAAAGTATGCACTATTGATTCTACTTAAGTAAAGTACAGATACGTGAAAAAATTACTTAAGTAAAGTAACGAAGTATTTGTACTTCGTTACATTCCACCACTGGCTTTAATACACGACCAAATTTTCTTATCGGGCCGATAACGATAACATTAAAGATGACCATTGGCTGATACCGGTATGGTGGCCGATATATCGTTAAATCCCTAATGGCAAGAATATAACGATTATTTATATTTTAGAGTTGCCGGGGCGGATTTCCTAGGAAGGTCAGGTTAATATTATATACTCGAATCGAAAAGTGTTTGCAAGCAAAAAGGGAAAGCAACAGAACCCGTAATAAAACATAAATCAACATAATTTGCATAAAATCTAATTTTCTGTTCACAAAACAAATAAAATCTCTAAACAAGTTACAACTTTGGACTATTTGCCTATAAATAGCCTTGTTAATTTATAGTTTCCACTGTTATACAATATGAATAGCAATTGTTATGTCTAATGTCAGCATTGACAAACTTTTGCAAAATTATTTTCTTTAAAAAAAATCGATTTTAAAAAGTCAAACCAATAGTGGCATATAAGCTACTTAACTGCTTATTAGATATCCGAAATTCAAGGATAATTTTTTTTTTCCCCAGATATAATCCGTCTTTTATTGTTGGGGGAGTTTGGATGTTGTTAGTGACATTTGCACTGATAAGCCGATCCTCTGATTAGATGATCATCGCATCGAGCCGAAGCACATCTCGCGTAATTACCAAATCAATGTTCCTCCGCAAGTAACTTACAGATTTATTCTTCAGCCGCTAGAGACACAAAAGTTACATAGTGTAGCTTTAAACAAAATGCATCAGTGTTTCCCCTACCATTGTTTTTTCAAACCGCAAAAACACCATTTAAATACGAATCCTGCATGTTCTGTGTGAATGAATGGTGCAGATGACACGCAGTTTCATTTACCACACACACACACGCTGTTTTTTGCCAATGAGGACACGGATGCATGAACTTCATCTCCAGACTCTGGATCCGCTCTGAAAGTCACTTCGTGAGCATTAAACCGCTTAATTTGAGAAAAACTATCGTCATGTCATAAACGCACAGAAACAAAATAAATAATAATACTAAGACGAATACAAATACATCATCATCAAAAGGAATAGTCAATTCTTCCGTGTTTTGATTTTAACAGTAAAGCTCATTGTGCAGCACGTTATTTGACAAAAAGTTTGTTTAATTTTATATGATTAAAATAAATTAAATTCATGTTTTATGTCTTCATTTGATTACCAGAAAAAAACTGAATTTGTGTGAAAAAAATAAATAAAAATGTTGTATAAGTTTAATAATTGTATAAGTTGATTTAAAAAAAAAAATTAATTAGACATGCTTTTTGATTACTAAAACCCTGTGCATTTTATTTCCCTTTTCTTTTTTTTAGGTGAAATATAATCCGGACATGAGATTCACCCACTGAGAGTCGCTTTAAAAGGGCACAGGAGGCAGAATGCTGCACAGCGGGAGTGTACGAGTGGTTATAACGGGCTGTTTACTAAAGAGCGCTCTGGACATAATGTGCTTTCTCAGTCCATTAAGCAGTCAAGACAAACATGATGTTCAGGAGGAGGAGAACAGAAGACATTGGGACTGTTCAAGGGGGCATTGAGCTCCTAAACAGAGACTGCTGAAGTCACAGCAACTACAATTCTGGGATCAAAACAAGTTAAGCTCTACATAATGCAGTTTAATATCACGGGAAATAAGACTCAGTAAAGAGTCAAAAATCAGGATGACAGTAGCAATTGCTCTTATGATATATTCAGTGTCCACCTGTGGCAAAAATCCAGCTTTGAATGTTGTTTATTTGTCTGTGGTGTTTTTAATATGCTTTAAGACCATGTGTAATTTATAAGTCGACACCATTTTTATGAGTATTTCCTCCTTAAAACTGCAGTGAACCAAAGACAGTCTCAAAAACACGGTTTGAAATCGCTGGTGTTTCTGACGTCACAAACGACCTTGTAACCAATCAGATCAACGTGTGATCGTCAACCAGTGGATCTCTGAGCTGAGTGAGTGAGTGGAGGCGGGGCTCATTTGCATATTCATAGAACCGCGTATACTAAATGAGGCAAGGGTTTCGAGTTACATTCAAGACATTTTAAGGCATGAAGAAATCTTTTACAAGGGAAAAAAAACGTTTAAATGTCATTTTGGTGATCAAAGGTGAGTTTTAAGGGATAATTATTGACTACAGGGGGACTTTAAATTTTGCAATGATACAAACAATCAAGCAGTTGAGATTTATTATATTATATATCGCTTAATATGAGTATACTGTATGTATGGAGATAAACATACTTGTATATCCAACTTTTTATAAAGTTCTCTGTAATGATAATTACATTTTGCAGCAAAATAAAAGATGAGCTTTGCTATATAGTATATATAGATTTATGTAAGTGTACTGTATGTATAGATAAAGTTGGATTTAATGTCCAACTTTATATAGAGCTGTGCAATAATACAGTTTACAACGATATATCCGGTTTCCCACAGGATTTTGAGAGACTATGGAAAGTAATATATATTAAATAATTAAAGTAAATTAAATAATTTTCCTTTAAACTCTCAAGATATTTTAAGGTATGTCATATTTTTCTGTAATTATGGTGATCAAAGATGAGTTTTAAGGGATAAAATGATTGACTAAAATTAAACCAAGATAAAAATTTCTAAAATACATTCAGATTTCCGTTAGTGTCGTCGTGTGCATTTAATCACGATTATCTGCAGGAGAATCAATGACACTGTAAGGCAAAGAGAGAGAGGGAAAGGGAGTCAGTCTGTCTGACTCAGCATTATTGATCGTCTATGACATCTAAGTGGTTTTGTTTCTGATTGTAAGCTGATGTTTCAAAGCCACATGAACATGTACATGGTGTTACAGAACACAAACTGCCCAATGCAACACATTATTACAGCATGAAGTCAACAAGCACAGGCTGCTCATTTCACCCCAGCACAGGAAATAACTGCAGCATTGAGTAATGAAACCCTGGAGCTCCTGACAGATGCTCTGCTCTCAATCTGCAGAAACACAGACCATTCGTCCTCATTTCAGTTCAAACCCCCTAAATGAGCACGTTCAGTGGGTCTCATTCATGAAACATTCGTAAATATACGAGTAAATATGAGTGATTTGCGCGTAAAGAGACCTTCCCGAAAACTCATCTCCTGATTCACAAATACTTCGTAAACGGCAGATGTGATAGTGAAATGTGTGTGTGTGTTAATGAATTCCAATCAGTCGTAAATGGGACGCGCGTGCACGCTCATTCTCAATTACCATAAATCCCGCC